GAGGATAACAGTATGAGAAAGAATATATTCGTTCTAAAGAAGAGGAGGTAAAAATCTAACAGGTTATAATACTCTGTATGTATTGAATGAAGTCGTGGCTAGCATGATAGTCGGTTTAATTAAACTTTACAACAATAAGTCGTGATTATAAATTTACCATTTATTTTCATTCTATGGCTAGTAGTAAAATATATTTCTAAACATCTATTTATATTAATAAAACTAAAAGGATATAAAAAATTCATCTGTACAATTTCGACAAGGCATTTGTTAAGCAGGTAAGCAAGTTGCATTATTGATGTACTAACTATGTAACATATTCCACATATGTTACTGTTGCTAATAATAAACACGTAAAAAATTTGTAACTTACAAATTTCAATGCAATTTTTTATTATCTGAAAGGTTAATAATTGTACGAAATATTTTTAATTTGATAATAATGGAACAACTTAGTAGTTGTAATCTATTTATTTCATGTATTCCAAAGCATATCTTCTTAATATAATTATATTAATTGAAATTTTTTTAATAATTATTAGATTATTAATTTAGTTGTTTAACCAAATATACTATAAATATTTTAGTATATAAGCGCACTTGTATTTGTAACATAAACTTAAATTTATTCATTATAATGTTATCAAAGAAAGATAAAAAAGTGGTTTTATTTAATAATGAAATTAGACAACAAAGTAATAAACATATTTACTAAGTTTTATATTCAAAATACTTAGTTAAATTTATTTAGTAATACTATTATATTATTGTACGAAATAAAAGTTTTAAAAAATACAATTTTATAAATAAATTAATTAACTATTAAGGGGCCTATTGAGTAAATAAAAATTATTTATTTTGATTGATATTCTTAAAATAACAAAATGTTAATAATACTAATCAGTATTTTTTTTATACAAGTCTTACTTTTTTTTTAAAAAACATTGATAACAGTACAAATATAATTGTTTATTTTCATATAAAAAGATAAAATAAAATTAAAAAAAAAATTTTTAATTAAAAAATAAAATAACATTAAATAATGGATAAAGATTTTAAATAAATTTTAAATAAATAATTAATAAAATCTGTACAAAACAAAAGTATAACATTGAAAATAAAAGTAATCAATTTTATTATTTTTTTTTTATTAAATTCACATAAATAGGAAAAAAATTTTCAAAGTATATTTTAATATACATTTTTAAAAACTTGTTAAAATTTTTTACATTTTATTTACAATAAATTACATCTACAATGTATGACATCTATATTACAGAACCAATCAGGTACTGATATATAACTGTTTGATATAAATATTATAGTATTATTATTATTGTAGTATACGACTTAGTTCTAATATGCTGAATACGTAATAATAGATACACAATAGCAAATATAATAATATTAATAAAAAATTATTGTGTTTAGGAATTAATCGCATAATTAAATTATTTTTCTACACAATTTTTATTATATTTTAATGTATTATATTATTATTCTTTATTAATGAATTAATGAATTTCAAAATAAGTAAGACTATATATATATATATATTACTAATATTATGAGTTATTGTTATAATGAATTTCTTATGTATAAAACTACTAGTACATATAAATCATAAAAACGTAATATTTGTCTATAAATATATTTATTTATATTTGTTTAATCGTATTAAAAAATATTTAAACTGTAAAGTTTTTTATAAGTGCACAATTTTGAAAAATATAAATTTAAAACTAACAACTAATAGGTGAAGGTAAGTCAGATTTTCATCCTATAAATAATCATTTAATTTTCAAATTAAATTATTCTTCCAAATTTTTTTCTGACATCCTGGTATAATTGATCATTAATACCTACGTCATTTGTTCAAGAATTTACTCAGATTTTATAATGTAATTCACCATCAAATCAGAAAAAAAATTATTTTCACATTTAAAAAAATAACATCCTGTATCTGTTGTATTTTTTTAAATACATAATATTTAAAAAAAAATACATTCATATCTTACAATAAAATTAGTAGAATGTAATATTATTAAATGGATAATTAAATGTTTGAAAAAAATTATTGAAATGTTAAAATAAAATATTGTAGATATTTAGTAGAATAGAATTAAGGTAATAAAATATGAAAGTTAATAAAAATTGTATAAAAAATGTATAAAAGTATAACTGTAATCTTTAAGATATTATTTCATATGAGTTTTAAAGTAAGCATTTATTTTCTTTATTTTATAAAAATTATATTTAAACTTTTTAATTATTACATATTAAACTGAAGTTTATAAAAAAATTTCAAAGTTGATTTCATGTGATTCTTGTACATATATATAAAACAAAAAATAATTTTTGCAATTGCAAATAAAAACTGTTTTGAAAAGAATGAACTTCTGTTCTAAACTAGTCCATAATGTTTTTATGTTTTACATATTAAATTAATTTAATTTGTATTTCGTATACATAATTTATCAAAAAATACATTATAAATCTATTGCTTTCTTAATCAATAATATTCAAGGCTTATCAAAATTGTTTTACAAAAAGTCACATGTATTTTAAAATAATTCAATACATTGATGAGTTGTATTTCATAATAGGACACAAAATTAAATTACTTCGATGATATAAATTATATTTAGATATATATATAATTGCAATATAATTGTAATAAAATTATATATAATTTATATATAATTTAATTAAATCAAGTAAATAAAGTTATAATTCTTTTTCGTAGTTTTACATAGCTATTAATAATTGAAGGATAATGAAAAATAAAAAATCAAACAATATTAAATCATTTCATCGTAAAAGATTTGGCATATGAAATATGCAGATATTTCCATTAAATTAAAGAAATCTTTTTTGGATTTATAAAGTCTCGAAATAATATTAAATAAATATATTTTTGAAAAAATAGAAATTAACTATAATAAAAGAAATATTACCTTTTTTATTAATAATATTAATTTTTCCTTTTAAAAATTAGATTTTAAATAATTTTATTTGATATCTATAACAAATTCAATAATGATAGAAGACGTAATTTTGCTTTAAAATCTCGGAATTGAAATACTGCAGAATAGGGTCTAGTATATTTTCTCTCAAATTTGAGAATATCGAATCATATGGAAATATGTACAGTAAGGTAAGGTACATTACCACAATAAGAAATTTAGTGTTCACAAATCATTCTGTAAGTAAATTAATTTAATAAGTTAAAAACTTATGATTAAAATTGTAATCATAATAGAAATTTTTAATTAATTGTAATCAAGAGTTTCTTGACATCAGTTAGTTACAAATTAGACACTATACATGAATTTCTATTTTATTATTTTTATTTTATGCATAAGAGGCTCTGTATTATCGTTTTGTTGAATTGCTTATTCCAACGTGCATGAAATTTATTTCCATCATTGAGCGACTTTTTTCATTCACATGGTCGTATATTAACGAAGGAAACATAAAAATAAAACAATAATACCTAAACTAAATTTGCAGATATTGAATGTAGAGGTTAAGTGGTAAAAGGGATTAAAGTTATATATTATTTATATTTAAATATTTATATTATGTATTCAATAAATATGAAATTAACAGTTCTTTTAATATAGAGTATCATTTAAATAGTATTTATGATATAAACGATTTGTTAAAAGTCCATATATTTAAAATTTTCAGCAATAACATACTGAAAAAAATTTATTTTCAAAAATTGAGTATACAAGCATTAATAATATATAGCTATAATTTAGTGAAACATGTTTACACTTATATATGATGCATATAAATATGTTAATATTTTGATTAACATATTAAAAATAAAAATTACTAATTTATAAAAGCAAAGGATATAATTACACATTTTAACTCTCAAAATAACTTGTAATTTTATAGTCTGTCATTGAAGAGACATTTTTATATTTCTTTAAATCTTATTAGAAAGGAATAAATACAAATAAATCTAGTTATAAAAGTATATTAAAAAAAAATTTAATATTGATTTACAGAATTATCAAAATGTCCAACAATATTGTTATTATTATTATATTATATATATATATATATATATATTTGTGTTTAGAAAATTTCCAGCTTTATTTGTAAATATGAATGATACAGAAATATCATTAAAAATTAATAAAATAAATTGCCTTTTCAATTTATAATATCAGCTTATCAACAGACTTTTAATTTATTTTTAATATTACTGGCCAGTGGTAAATATATTATTTATTAGTAATATGTGATTCATAGAAATGCTTATTAATAATATATCTTAAGTAATTATTGTATTTATCAAATTGAATAAGCAAATTAGTTTCAACGTCTAAACGATTATAAGATCAAATATAGTATTAATTAAAACTTAAATAGAGGAAAATATTAACTTAATTTTTTAAACATAACCCATTATTGAACGTATATTTATAATAAGGCATTATAGTACATATATTGTTTTCATGTACTTATATAAATAACTGAGTTATTAATGTAATTTTAATATTATGATTATTTTTAAAAGTAGTTTTAGTTATAGAATTTCTATATAAAATTAGTTTATATTTTATTGATAAACTTACTATATTTTATATATATTATTATTTTATATTTACTATAAATATTATTATAAATATATGTATTATAGAGATCTACTATTTAAACAAATGAATTTAAATTATAAAACTATAAACATTATGGACATCTATTTATGTACTTTTCTTTTAATCAATAAATGTGTTTACCTAATTTGAAGAAAAAAGCTATCAGTATATAAGTAATAAAAATTTATAATTTTAATATTATTGTTTAAATTATAAGCTGTAGCAACAGTAGTAGTAGTAGTAAAAGTGGTTTTTGAAAAAGAAAGCTTCTATTTCCAGTTAAATTTCTCAAAAAAAATTATTTTTAATTAATTATATATAAATTTAGATAATGTATTTTTCATATTATATTTTAAGTGTGATAATTAAATAATTTTTCAGAAAGAAAAATGGTAAGGAAAATAAACTAACAGTCAAATCATAGTATGTGCCAGCAATGATATAACTAAATGCATAGATCTAACAGCAATAGTTACGACATTCATTTAATGTAGCGATCGATGCCGATAATACCGAAAACCAGCTGTATAAGCGAGCTAATAGCAATTCTAGGCCGAGCTGCGTTCTTATTGAACAACTAAGAAATAATAAAATGTTTCGCTCCAAAATCCGGATACATACCTGTCAGGTAATTTTACTTACTTCACTCGTGTGGTTCCTCGTTGATGTTATAGTGCTCATGTTCTATTCGGACTGCATAAACGGTTCTGGTTGGAATTGCCAAGGTTTCGATTCAGCGCGCGTGAAACGACAGCAACACCTATTACTTGTTAATGAAAACGAGCAACGAACGGAAGAAATTTCGCAACAATATCAGCAGCATATAATAGACACAAGAACCTTTAAATTTGGAGAACTTAAACTTTGGAGACCTGCCAAAGTCGTGCGTGAAAATAAAGATAGCCCAGGTGAAATGGGCAAGGCTGTACATATACCCACCGAACAAGAAGCAATGCAGCAAGAGCTATTTAAACTTAACCAATTTAATCTAATGGCAAGTGACATGATATCGCTTAATAGATCACTTAAGGATGTAAGACTTGTTGGTTGTAAAATAAAAAAATACCCTAAACTTTTACCTGACACCAGTATCGTCATCGTATTTCATAATGAAGCCTGGAGCACACTATTGAGAACAGTTTGGTCAGTTATAAATCGTTCGCCAAGAGCTTTACTCAAAGAAATTATTCTTGTGGATGACGCCAGCGAGCGTAGTAAGCATTTTTTTAGATTTTATAATTTTGTTTCTAAACATTAAGAATACTGTACATAAACGTTTTTACTTTTTACAGTAAGTAAACGAAACATGTTTATTTTTTGGGATTTTATTTGTATAAGACAAACTTATGTAATTAATAGTAATAATAATTATTATTTATTTAATAATCGATGTATATTTTTTCAATTGGTTCCAAAAATATGAATATTGGATTTTTTGAAAAGTAATTTCATTCTATACAAATATTATTTTGTTTTTATCTATTTTATTCTAAATCATATTACCATTATGTATTTCAACAAATGATGTTAAGAGGTTTTTTTTGTTAAAAATAAGTATTCTGTATACATAAACTGTATATTTGTATAAAAAACTTTTTCCTATTATAATTGCTTATTTCATGTTTATATTAAATATAATAAATTATTCATTTTTAAGTAGTAAATCATACATATCAATGACATAGGATAAATTTATGAGAATACAAGAAATCTAAATTTGTTCTTTGAATCAAAACCAAATTATTTTTTTCTTAACACTAATTTTTTATAAACAATCGTACAGCATTTTTTTCTAACGTTTTTAATATTTTATAATAAACATCCAAGTTTTATTATAATTATCATCAGTTAAATTTTTAAAACACATTTGAAAAAGCAAAATTTTGCAAACTACATTTGATATTGATATTCTAACAACACATTCTTTTCATATACTTTATATAACTTTCTTGATTTATAATAAAAGGCAAAACATTTTTATTTTTGATCTAACAAAATGAATGACCGCTAATAAAATACATTATATAATGATTTTTTTTATTCAGCTGATTAAAAGTCAACTAATAACATTTGTAATAAGAATTGAATTATTTTTCTTGTAATCAGAAATATTAAATTAGCACAATTTTGCATTTTTAAATGTTATATTTTATTTTTTTACCGAATATTTCCAGATCACCTAAAACAAGATCTCGAAGACTATGTTGAAACTCTTCCTGTACCTACATATGTATATAGAACGGAAAAACGTTCAGGACTTATTAGAGCTAGATTACTAGGTGCAAAACATGTAAAAGGTAAAGTGATTACATTCTTAGATGCTCATTGTGAGTGTACAGAAGGTTGGTTAGAGCCTTTACTATCTAGGATTGCCTACGATAAAAAAACAGTAGTTTGTCCGATCATTGATGTTATCAGTGACGAAACATTTGAATACATAACAGCTAGCGATATGACGTGGGGTGGTTTCAATTGGAAATTAAATTTTAGATGGTAATTTATCTAAAAAAAAAAAATTTTAAATTAAAATTTATAAGAATTATTTTCATTTTTAATATTCATGAATTTAGGTATAGGGTAGCTCAAAGAGAAATGAATAGACGAAATGGCGATAGAACAGCTCCTTTGCGAACTCCAACAATGGCAGGCGGATTATTTTCGATTGATAAAGATTATTTTTATGAATTAGGAGCTTATGATGAAGGTATGGACATTTGGGGAGGAGAAAATCTCGAAATGAGTTTTCGGGTAAGCTTTTGGTATATTTAATTTTTAATAATAATATTAGTTTATTAAATATATGCAGAAGCTAATTTAATGATATAAAACGTATAAAATATATTTACGCACTAATATACAAAACTATTGAAATAAATTATTTTTAGACTTACATTTTTATTAATTTAAATGCAAGTCAAATTCTGTATAACATAAATAACTTTTAAATTAAATAAAAATGAGACTTATCTAAGATTTACAACAAATATCATTAAATTTATTAATGAAAAAATAGATAAAAAATGTTATTAAATATAATTGTTGTCTTTGATATTAGTTAGCATATAAGTTTTTGTAATTAAAATAGTTCTAGAAATTATTTGAAATGAATGTTGACACTATTAAATAAAAAAATACTTATGTAACTACGGTCTAAAAAATAATATTGAAAAAATTTGTATCATTAAAATAGTACGAAATTTAATTAGTCATTTTTAATTGTAATTAATAATTTAATAACTTAAGAAATATGAAATTATTGTTAATATTTAAATAATTTAATACCACATTAAAATCGTTTGCATATTACTTAACTATTCATTTTTAAATACACACATGTTTATAAACAGTATTTATAATAACTGTTTAATGGATATTCCTCTAAATATTTTAACAAAAAATGTGCATAATATATTTATAGTAGCACATTGCTAAAATTTGTCAAATTTGATAAATACTTATCAATACTATTATGTTATACAAATTCTTAGCAATAACAATGAATAATATCACGATATTAATTAGTTAAAAAATTAATTTTTAATTTTTCAACAAAAGCATTTTTTTTTTTGTTAATTTAATTAACCACATGTATTATATATATACGGCTTATTTATTAAAATTAACTTTTCAAGGCTATTTTAATATTTAATAATTACTTGTTTTTATTTGATTATTTTAATTTATTAATGCTTGTTTTTTAAAAGTAATAAAAACTTAATGTTTTCGAACTATGAAAATTATTTTTAATTAATTTATTCATTACGGTAGTTTTAATAAACAAAAATTATGCTAATCTAACATTTTGTTATTATATGGATATATTTATAAGTATACATAATAAATAAATACTTTGAAATATTTATTAGAAATTTTGATTTCAATTTGAACTCAAATTAAAAACTCCAGGACTCATTCTCTGATTTTGTAATTGTTTCGTTAAAAGTTATTTTTTACTAACAACACCAATTTATTTTATAAAAAATAAAATTTTTACTTATGGATGAATACATATATAACTATGTAATGTGTTTAATCCTTAATGATTTATAACTTTAATTCTAGCTACTGGAATAAAATCTACGTAATATTCATCGGAAATATTAATTTTTAGAATCAATGCATTTCACTGTTTAAATTTTGTGACAATCAGAGTTCTTTATAGGTTTGGCAATGCGGTGGTATTTTAGAAATCAGTCCATGTTCCCATGTGGGACATGTTTTTCGAGACAAAAGCCCTTACACATTTCCTGGTGGTGTCAGCAAAATTGTCTTACACAACGCAGCCAGAGTAGCTGAAGTCTGGATGGATGAGTGGAGAGACTTTTACTATGCCATGAATCCAGGTTAGATTATGATCCTCGAGTTCTAAAGTAATTATAGTTCTACATAAATTCTAAACTAATAATAGGTATTATATAATTCATAGATATTATACGCTTAAAGTGCATACATGCTAAAACCATACCTTCTGCTTACTAACTTGTAAATATACTTGGATTTTTTAACATAAAATACTTTATTTGAATTTTTAAGCTTATTCGTTTTAGAAAAATAAATTAAAAATTTTTTTTTATTACAAAATATTTATTTTAATAATATATCATTTTATCATTATGTCCAATATATTTTTTAACTTTATTTGCATACAGAACCAAAAATTTAAAGTATGATATAATATTAACAAATTCTATAAATTTTTAAGGGATAAATATTTGAATTACTTTCTAATTCTAACTTATTTCACTATAAGTCTTAACCACTCATCCAACCAACTACTAACGAAACAAAAAATTTAAATATAAAATCGTTTTGAAACGATTTTCATGATCTTGTGATAAATGTCGACAGATTAGTAATTGTCGTGGTAATTGTTTTATAAATCTAATAAACAAACATAAAATCTTAAAATAAATTGATTATTATTAATATGTTAAATATACTAAAAATACTCAATCGTAATTAACAATTATTAACCAAATAATAAATTATTTTCAATCTATTAAAATTTTTTGGTAACAATTAACATATAGCATTAAACGCGTCATATAATAGCTAACACACTAACAGAATTAAGTTGGTTAGATATGGATGTGTGGTGGGACATTGGAAATTGCCACGTGCTCACATGTTGGACACGTATTCCGTAAATCAACTCCGTACACTTTCCCCGGTGGTACAAGCAAGATAGTCAACCACAACAATGCACGACTTGCTGAAGTCTGGCTGGACCAGTGGAAGTACTTCTATTACAACATTAACCCAGGTAGCACTAAATTTGTGCAAAATGCATACGTGCAGGCGTGTGTACGCACGTGCATGCATTGGCGTTTTTGCAATTGCATAGACGTCTCATAATCTATCATAAGTAATGTTGTAATCTTATTTAAACATCAAAACTATTATATATTTATCAACTATAACATACTTATACACTACTATTTATTATTATGCATCTCGTCTTTTCACAATAACTTTATCCATACACAGCTTATATAATTGCTTAATTTCATTATCCAATATATTTTATTCTATTAAGCAGTTATAATAAATTATATTATTTATGTTATTGTTTTATGACTTTAAATTGACATACTTTTAATATCCAAATATTATTTTTAATATCTATATTTTAAAATATGTAGTTGAATAATTTAAGCAACTTTTGTAAATTATGTCGATGTATAGTTTTATATTTTGTATATGAACTTTTTATACACAGAAGCACGATAAAATCATAATTTAAATAATATAACATTTAATGTAGCCAATATTTTATTTAAAATAATTAATTAAATGTTTTAGGTGCCCGTAGTGTTCCAGTGGGAGATGTTTCAGAACGTATCAAATTAAGAGAACAACTCAAATGTAAGAGCTTCAGGTGGTATTTAGAAAATATATATCCAGAATCTCCAATGCCCTTGGATTATTACTATTTAGGTGATATAAGAAATGCTGACAGTCATACTTCAGAAAAGGTTCAGAACCATTGCCTTGATACAATGGGTAGAAGAACTAATGAAAATGTAGGAATGAATTATTGTCATGGTCTTGGTGGTAATCAAGTATGTATAATCATAATTAAAATTGTAATTATTTTAATAATTAACTTTTATCCAGTAGTTTTTATTATTTTGATATAGTTAAATAAGAATTTTTTACAGATATTTGCTTATACAAAACGACAGCAAATTATGTCTGATGATGTATGTTTGGATGCTTCAAGTCCGGAAGGACCAGTAAAAATTGTTCGTTGCCATGGAATGGGAGGAAATCAAGTATGGACTTACAATGAAAAGGTATGCATATTAGATATAAAAAGTCAAATGCAATTATGAAATAAATTTATCCATTTTAATATTAATAATTATTATGTAGACGAAGATGATTAAACATGTCAACACAAAATATTGTCTTACTAAACCTCGTTTGAATGACACACCACAACCCATTTTGGCACAATGCGATACAACGGCCATCGAACAAAAATGGATTATGCAAAGCAAATTTAAATGGCAAGCCAGCTAATATCTTGTGATTAATCAAAGGAGTTTTTTCAATTTCTTTGGTTAAAAGAATATTTTTTTCACCTTTCAAAAAGTAAATTCAAATTTAATTAGTATACGCGTTACGTTGTGCCTGAATGAAACTATTTTAAAAACTAGTCTTGATTCATTTTCCAATTTCATATTATCATCAAATGCATAATTATATGTATAATAATTTCATTGTTGATATTACAATAATGCTGGATTGATGATTATTATTTGAAGAATGCATCACACATAATAAAGTAAATCATAGTATAATGAAGATACAATGACTTATTACAAAATAAATAATACAAATGCATGGATGAGAATAAACTTTTAAATAGAGAAGTCTATTAGAATATTGTTATTAATAATATTACTTATGAATGCCTAAAAATTAAGTAAAATTAAATAATATTGTCACTAAAATTAAAAAAAAAACAAGAGCAACTGTTAATATGTATTGGGATGTGTGCAATTGAAAGTAGAACTGTAATTACTAGTGTCTGACTGTCAGTGCAAGGATCAGTCACCAATTACAATTACTTATACAAATGTACAAATTGTGTTATACAATTATTACTGAATCATTGTACTTTTTTCAATAGTGAGTTATTTATTGACCTTGTCATCATGAACAAGTTTATAAATGTTTGTGGAGCACTTGCATCGTTTTATACTGTTATAGTTTCTTGCTTCTTTTACAAAGTAATTATAATTATATATGTACGCAGATACCAGAAACTTAGAGATTATTTGCATTTTATTTATATTTTCTATGAAAAATAATATATAAGTACTAAGTTTTTAAAATTTACATTTATAAATGTCTGATTTCAAAATTACAATTTTTATTTTTTACTTTAACAAATTGACTTTATTATATATTCTTAATAGTACTAAATAATTGGAATAATGCTTTATATTGTGGTATGAATATTTGTTTTACCAACATATTAAAAATTTTGATAAAATAATGTGGTGATGGCATACCTAAAAATTCTTTATTGTTTATAATTAATTATTTATTTTTTATAAATCTTTACATTATCAATATAATGTTAATAAAATAATGTAAAGACTATATATATTCTACAACATAAATATTACATAATATGTTAATTCATTAATAATTTAATAATGAAACTTGATAAAAATTGAAACCATGGTTTTTATACGAACAAATATTAATAAATGCGTTTTAAAATTGAAATTAATAAAATTTTAATTACTTAAGTTACATCTGTACTTTTAGGAATTTCTGTATAAAAATTGTATTAATTTTAATAATAAATTTTTAAAAGATGGTAATCATAATTAATATTTATATAAAATAAATATAAAATTAATAAGGATTTTGTAATAATTTTTCAATTATTTGTTTACCCTAAATTTGACACTGTATGTTTAAATTAGTATATTTAATTATATTCACATAAATATATATTTTTATATTTTATTATTGATTAAGATTATTTGAATAATTTTAATATACAGTTTATTCTCTAAATTTTAGTAATTAAAGTATAGGTGAATATATATATATATATATATATATATATAACAAAATACAGAAAATATATATGTAATTAAAAATAAAGATAAATAAATATAAAACATTCATAAAATAAAATTAAATCATTAATATTTTGTAAAATTATTAAATAATGTAAAAAATTACAGAACTACATTAAAAGAATTGTCTGGGATCAGACTAAAAGCCTCCCTGTGATGGTGGGTGGAGGCTGGCAATGCAATAATTCAATACTGTCTTTAGAGTATTGTCTTTCCTTTATTGAATATAATAAATATAATAAATAATCGAATGATCTATGGATATCGAAATGAGTGTATGAGATAATGAATAGATGACAGTTGCTTTAATCAATATTGGTGGAGATAATTCTATAAGTGTATTCTTGATAGCCTGGAGCTTGATTCTCTTTCTCCTTATGATTTAGTAGTAGTAGTGGGAGACTCGTGCTGGTAGAGGCCGCCTTAGCCGCTTGCGTAGGGTGAGCGTTGTAGTGGTCGGGTTGTGGGAGGATGTCCGTGTGACGTCACTGCTGTAATATTAGTAAGACGTAAGAACGAGCGTGATGACGTAGCTTACGTGCGGGCTGGAGCCGATCTCTAGAATGGCGATCCTGTCATGATTAGTGCTTGATTGAACTAGTAAGAGTGTCGGTGTAGTTGTGGCATCGCTATTAGTTCTTTAGGTTGCTTGATGGCTTCATAATGGCGATTTCAGGTTGGATAGCAAGCCTGATGTGGAGAATGCGTGATTGGTACTAGCAAGAGCCCTAGAGCGTCAAGCGTCGTAGTTCCTTAAATATCCTAGCACAAGCTTGCGCATCCAGTGACTACCGGTTTACTCTTGCCATGCCGATTGTTAGATGACTAGAGTCTAGCCTTGGGGAGTTCGTCGGCCTTCTTAGTCAGAATTATTAGGTAATATTCGAATATTTTGCGTAGTGAGGCTTCCCGATTTCACAGAATTGTGTTTAAGACTAGGCATGCAAATGTTCCTAACTAAGCACAGGTGCCTTCATCTCTCCCACTTTGTATACCGCTTAAACCTGCTGTAATCCGTAACAAGAATTAATCATTTATAACTATTCATACATTTCTAAAAAAACAATTGTATATTTTATATAAAACATATGGTTACATTAATAATTAATATATTTTTATTTTTAATCTATTAACATTATTAAACAGAACTTTAATATAAAATTTCATAAAACTGTAAATAAAATAATATTTATATAAATAATTATAAATATAATTGTATATTTTAATTCATATCCACATAAGTAATATTAATAGTATACAAAATGCGTTACATTGTTAAAAATAATAGAGCTTTAAAATGTACTAAAGTCAAGCGTGGAGTTAATTTTATTATATAGTATATAATCATAAATAAACATTTCACTGCTTAACCATTTATCAAGTTATTGATTTGAGCATTGGAGATTAAAACAAGACTGCTTTTCAGATATATTTATATATAATATAAGCACGAAAAATATCAAGCTTTTATATTATAAAATTATTGAATAAAACTAAGTATTCGTGGAGATATTTTTATGGAGATTCAGAAAATGAAACTGTGAAAAGCCTTCAATTGAGTAGAACACAATTATTTTAAGTTAATCTATGCAAATACGCTTTTATGAATGGAGTAATCTTAAAAATTATTCAAATAAGAATTAAGAGATTTTAAATCTCTAATATTTTTCTTAAACCTCATTAAATCTTTCAATGTATCAGTCAAAATAAAAGGCTATTGATATATACAAGCTTTTTATAATTGTAAGATGTCACAATAGACAATTTTCACAAGATTGATATATTAAAATCTAAAATTAGGATTATATCAATACATAATTTTAAAAACATGAGAAATGTTAGTTATCTCCAGCAGTTTCCGGAGAAAGTAAAGTGATTCTAAAACAGGAATAAAATAACTGATTCTGTGAACTCAATTCTCTATGAATGTAATTATTGCTTTCAATAAAACAATAAAAATTAAAAAAAAAAGTAAGTTTTTGTATTTGAATTCGGTATAGGAAAAATTTATGAGAATATAACTTGTACAAACAACTGAAAAAGGAATCATCCAATATGACCCAAAAAAGGATATTTGATCGATGCCATAGTCCAATAGATATTCAGATTAGGGAATTCATGATCTGTGTTAATATAAAAGCATTTAATTACATATGAAAAAATCATAAATATGGATGGCATTATCAAGAGAAAAAGAACATCATATATAGCAATTGTGTAACTATAGTAAAAAATAACAATTAATATCCGTGTAGTAGGATTACTTATTTTTATAGATCATGATGTATTAAATTACATAACTAAAGTTGGTCCATATAGTTGATTGACTGTAAAAATTTCGAAAGACCGTAGCTATTTCTTCAATGATTACTACTATTTGTTTATTATTGCTATAAATTAATATTATATCAGATACGATAAAATAAGCTAAGAATGTCTACAATAAGTTTGAAAAAAGGACATCGGCAAATTTTCTTCATCAAGAAGAGTAATTGTTAACAATATTCTAGTACCTAATTCGAACTTCATTATTCTTCCCTTTAGACCAGATTTCGCTTCTAGTTTTTTTATCGTCTACACCTTACAATTATATCGATTCTGAACAACATATAGATGATATATTTATAGGTACACAAAATTGTATTTATGTAATAATGAGGATTATATTTATTTATTTTTGTTTACAATTAAGTCTATTATTGTATACACTATATATATTTTACAAATATTTATAAAAATATCAAATACCAGAAGTTCAATACATCATAAAAAAATATTAATACTTATGAACAATATTTAATCATTTTAAAAACTATTTTTGGATACATTTAGTTAATTTTTAATAAATTTTTAAATCTTAAAATTAACCATTAAGAAATAAACTTTCCTATAAAATGCAACAAAAAGAATTTGCTAGTTAATAAATATTGTTATAATCCTAAAATATAATACAAATTAATGTTAGTAAATAAATAAAATTAATCCCGTTTAATACTATTAAATTTTGACTCAAATTCAAAACAAACGTATTATATTTCGAAAAATATAAGATTATATATAGAATTTTTTACATATATCAAGATCTATTGAAATTGTGTTGTAACAGTCTATCTGTAATATTATTTTATGTAATATTTCTTAAGTTTATAAATAAATTATACATATGCTTTATTAATAGTGCATTATCCAATTAGTTACAAATTTTATTAAATATAAAACTTAACAATTAATGTTCAAATTGAAGATATTTGAAAACAATGTTTGAGCGAAAATTCAAACATAACAAGCCCATTTTGTAACTTATTATTTTATAATTATCTTTAACATCGAAAAATTAATATTAGTAAACAAAATATATATATTCTAAATTCGTTATTATTATAATATTTATTATTATTTAGCTTATAAAACTAAAATATGCATTTTTAAGCATTTTTATATATTTACACATGTGCTAGCATAATAATTTAATATTTTCATTATTCATAATAATTCAATTTTTTAATATCTTTGATAAATAAATAAAGTTAGTTCTCTGGTTTTAATTCACTAACTTGTTATAATTTCTATAATGTAATTTCACGAATGCACAAAAGATATTATTAAACACACGATTCAATTATATTGATTTATTTAATTATTTTTCTAAAATTATAAGACTTAATTTTCAATATAATCCCTTAATTTAATATATATTAATAAATTAAGAGCTATCACTTTCTTGGTTTTATTGTTATTAATTAGTTTCAATTAAAATTAATAAATACGTTCTAGTTACATATGTTAATAATATAGGTGAAATAAGAATCGCCTAATATATAATTAATAGAAAACAACATAAACATAGTTCATTTTCTTCGTTAATAGTTTTTAAAAAAAAAAAGAAAACATTTATGTAAGAAATGTAGAAAAATAAGTTTCTGAAAAATTGAATAGAATTTTAATTGTAAAGATAATAGTAAAATTCAAATATAGAATATATTATTATAAAGCATGTTCGTATTTATTTATCAAAATTATCAGGTATTTTCATTATAATTATTATTACATCAAATTATATTCCAGTATAATCACAAATTCAGAAATGCTAGACAAGGTGAATGATTCAAAATAAATTTATAGATAATGATAAATTTATAGATATGATAATGATGCAAATGTTGACTTTTTGGCATATTTCACATTTTTTCATAAAAGATATCTTTATATTATTATCTTATATAGTAGGATTAGGTAAATAAATATAATATTGAATGTTACATATGAAATATTATTCTTAATTTATACTAGTTTTAAAGGAATACATTAGATAAGGAATATCATTTTCAGAAAATCACGTTTTCAATTTCTATATACTTCGAGAAAATATACATTTAACATTCGATGTTTAAGAAGTTATGTATTATTATATTTACTAACAATTTCCTTTGACAAGTCATTTCAGATTGTATAAATACAATAAATAATTTCTTTTGAAGCATTAATTTGATATTTGAATGATTTTTGATGTGTCAATAGTTTAGTTTTTAAGTATTTATAGAATTCCTCATTATTTTAATATTTTTAATATAGATGTAGAGATGTTGCCATCATTAAATTGAGGCTATCATTGATTGTTACAATTTAATTTTAATTCCTGATACTACTATTCATAATGTGAACCCGAAACAACACATTTCAAATGGACTATGTTTTTTATTACTTTTTATAGCTTTCGATTTGATAATTATAATAGAGTGTTGTCGGTACAAAACAATTTTATTACTTATAACTAAATTGCCTTCATGTCGTTTTTATTTTTTCTATTCTTAGTTCGTTTCTACTATTCTTATTTTGAATACTATCTTTTACTTTTATACATCGCCTTCTAAAACAACTGTTCTAGATTTGGTAGTTTCTAATATTAATATATGTTCTTTACTATTGTATTAAAAATCACGAAGAACACATTACATATACCTGTAACTTTTTAAGAGATAGTAGATGTTTAATGTTGATAATATAGTGATATATTTTTGGATATTTTTTTTTGTACAATATATTAATAAGTAATATGTTTTACAACCCGAGTTACCATGTCCTGAATCTATTAATTTCCTGAGTAAATAAGTTTTCAGACAAATTTTAACTGCTACATTAGTTGCCGATAGTCTATATATTTCAATGATACACATTTTAATAATTTAGAACTATTATAGCTTTTTTAGAGTCATCCCATAATCATATTTATTAACTCGGTATTAGCTTTGGTTTTATTTATTTGAATGTTAATATTATATTATTGTTAATTTAATTTTTCCCATTATTTTGTGTATTATTTTCATTACAGATTCTAAACTAATCAATTCATCTGTACTAATCGAGTATCACTAGTGCGTTACTTATTAATATTATAGATTTTAATACAAACTTTATGATTTTCAGTTATTTTGAAAGTGTTACATGCAAATGAAGTTTGTTCTAGTCAAGCTATAAAATTTTTTCGAAATACTCCGTTCTTAAATAAATAGGTAATTTTTTGTATATAATATAAAAATAAAAATTATTTTAACTTTCAAACACAAATAATTGTAAAATAGAACAGAAAATTAAATGATATAAACATATATGATAAAAAAATGATAAATATTAACTGAAAATATACTTAAATATAAATATGTGCCACATGTTTTAATTTTATTTTAGTATATAATCCAGTTTATTTACTTCAAACAAAAATATTGAATGATAATTTAAGAATAGGCAAATAGTTATAAACTAACAATTTTGCTTCTTTTTCTTATATATTGAAATTTTCTATAAAATATATGAAAAATGATAAAAAATATATCTTTTTAAAGCGTACAAAAATGTTCACTATACACTATGTGTAATCATATATTAAATTAAAATTTTGTCATGGTAAATTAATGCTCATGGTGTTTAAATTAATAAGAATTAAATGTATACTAAACATACAAAAAACTATGAAAAAAATTAAAATAAAATAGGTAAAATACATAGCATAAAAACTGATGAATTATCATTCATATATACATTAAACGCTAGTAGTAATTTGATCAGAAATTGTGATATCAGAACAATTTTTTGATGTACTTGTATGTTTTTGATGCTGATGGTAGAAATATTGATGTTGATAAGTCAGGTTTTCTGGTACACTCTTGCTATGTTTCAATGAACCATGCATTAATTGAGAGGTTCCAATGTTTCCTGCTTTTAGTTTAAAAGTAAAATGTATTAATAGCATTATAATTTAATTTAATATGTTGAAATATCAAATAATTTTTTAATTGATCACACTCGGTTTTTTCAGATATATACAAGTTAAATTATAACAAATTAAATATTTATTTTTAATGAAATAGTTGTAGATTATTTAATACCTAATAAAGCTATGTAAAATATTTTATTTGAACAATTTATTAATAATTATATGTTATTTAGATTAAAAATTATATAATAATTGAATATAAAAAACATTAGAATAGAAATAAAAATAGAAATTTTTTATGAAAAATTCTTAAATTTATAATTACACTTACACTTTATTAATTATTTTAAAATTGATTTATATTTTTATAAATATGGATATAAATATATGTGTAAAAACTATTAAAAATAATAATGAATTTAACTAGTAATATTCTTGTAGATGTTTAATTAATAAAAGAATTGATGGAAATAGTAATACAATCTATGATATGAGTATGGCAACATTACAATTTGTGATAGAACTGCTCGACGAAATGCATAGCTTGAAGTAAAAACTATTTTAGTAAAGAATAATGATTTCCAAAATTAATTTTTTCAAACTCACACATCTATAGATTACTTATATAGAATCTATAAAATAATTGAATGCAATCAGTTTGAACAACATACATCATAATGCAAAAAAATCCTTACCAAGCTTTTGTTTATTAAACTGATGTGGTTTCGTATTGTAAACGTTTTTTCGCTCAAAGTTTCTTGTACGGTTGGTATAAGATTTCTGATTTATTGACATCAATAATAATGAATATTGATTTTCATCTCTAATGAGTGGTATATGCAATGACTGAGATTTCACCAGACGAGAAATATTATATGCTACAGGTTTCATATTAATTGTTGGACAAGCGCAAGATAACGATCCTAAAGATCTACTTCTTGTAGCGGTAAAAATTACTGGAGAACAGGCTTTACGTCTATTCGAGCCCACAAGAAAAAGTAGGGCAGCACCACATAATGAACTCAAACTGCAAGCATAGTAGCCAATTTTTGGATTTTTCGAGTTTATGTAACCTGGGAACAATTATATTATACGGAGTAAGATGTATATCTATTAAAAGTTTATTCTAAATAAGCAAGTTTTTAATTAAATCAATTATAAACATAAATAAATGAATTCTACAATTTACTGTGATTTACAGATTTTAACACTTTTCATTGAAGATTATATCAGTTTTTATTTTATATTATTTTTTTATATTTTTATATTATTATTTTATCAGTTATTGTTATTAACTCCTCTGCGAAGTAATACATGTTTCATTCAAGTGAAGATTAATACTTTTTATGGCTAATTTTTTATGTAAGCACAAAAGATAACTCTTGTTAAAAAAAACATAATGATAAAACTTTAATTTCATAATGGATATAATAGATTTGTTACAGGATTTCCACATAATTGGAAGAATATTTTTAAATGATGCAATAAAATGGAAAAGCTAACAAAAATTAAACTTACTGTTTCCTTTTGCTATGATTTGCCTAATGTCATCGACATTTATATTCTATTATGTGTTTACTTACATTTATTGAAATTTCTATGATCTACATTTATATACTGACCGTTATATCTAAACACACCAATGTTACAATAAAAAATGATTACGATGTATATTTACCATTATTTTACTAAAAATTCGCAATATCTTCATTCAAGTAATTCAGCACACTAATTTGAAGTTTGAAAATTCAAAATGGCTACGCAGATCAATTGTTGACATCAATCTATATATATTTGAAATCCTTACATGAAATATAAAACTCTTATAGCTCGTGTAATTGGTTGCAATAAAAAAATTATGGATTAGAAAAGCGGTTCAATAAACGTTTTTTCACGTTTTTCAAATTAAAGTTAAATCTTACATGAACATGAACTATTCATTCAAATATTACAATAAATTTTCACTAATGTAATAATTCTTCTAAAATAACCTTTTATCATATGTGATACATACCATAATGTGTACCTGCTCGAAAGTTTTAGTGATGTAATTCTTGGCTCGAACTGCCAATGCTTCAATATCTTAGTTTGCCGCCCGCCCTGGCAGACTCTCGGGAAGGAGTGAGATGTAGGGGCTGTACAAGGCTCGTGAGAGTTGGTTAATTATATATTTATTATACAATTTATTACATAATTTACATGCGCATGTTGTAGAATCTTCTTGAATCTTATATGAAAATATGATTTGTTGATCGGCTCCTTATATAGGAGGTGTCACTATACAAGATGCCTTGAAATCGTTGAATTGATGAAAATTGCACAGGTAAATAATTACTGCACACTTCTTGCCAGAGAGTGTGAGATAATGTTAATGATTATCTTATGCCGGTTGTGCCGCCGGCTGACAATAATTGAAGAGATAATGTGTATTAACGTACTCACAGCGATGTCGTAGTTTAAAATCTGATTCAGAGGTGAGTTGGACACAATTACACGTAGCAAAGCGACTGCGTGCGGTGTGACTTTTATATTCACAAGGATGCAATAGTCTTGATCTGATCTGGCGGTGAGTTGGACACAATTACGTGCGGCGTGACTCTTATACTCATCAAGATACACTATTCTTGATCTGATCTAGCGGTGAGTTGGACACAATTACGTGCGGCGTGAATCTTATACTTGCCAGGATGCAATATTCTTGCTCTGAATTACTAACACTTATTTCTGCGTTGAGTGAATTTTAGACTTGGCTTCCATGGACAATTAATTTCTATTACTTGACTTTTCCCTAGACTGCTCACTCGAGCCCTTTCTTGACTTGTCTTTGCGGACAGTACTTGGCTGTCCATAGCCCTTGGCTGCCCACACGGAAAGCGTGTTCCAATTGTCCCCAGCGGGCAGCCCTTTTCGCTGCCTTATTGCCATCTTTAATGCCTCTTGTCATGAATCCCCACTCAAGGAGCTTCTGGTTTTAGTTTTCCAATCAGGGCGCGCCGCTCTTCGGCGGCATGGTGAATGTACACGCCCTTTTCCCACTTCATAAGAAATTAGGCTTAGACAATGAGAATATCGAAGGAGTATCTCTGGCGGCAATGCGTGAAGTGGAAGATTTGCCCCTCTCCGGGACTCATCGTGGTGGGGATGACTTTTGGTCAAGCGTCTTCGCTTGGCCTATGCAAGCAGCAACATTTGTCGTACTTGACAACAATGCATGCGTATGTCCTCGTGGCATTGAAGGCACACGTGCGACGCAGATTGTCGAGCGTCGCGAGTGCCGAGTTTCGGGTTGCAACGGATTTTAAGAAATGTTTTTCATTCAGTTGTTTTGAAATATTTTAATCCTCAAAATATATTCGTATAAAACAATCTAGTCGGGGTTTGATGTGAACTCGCAAGGGCCGTTTATTGCATTCAAAACAATTACTATGTCTGCAGGTCAAAAGGCCATAAATAGTTGTTTACATATTAGTTGTTTATAATAGTTGTTTGTCACAGATGTACAAACCTTTTCGAGTCTCATGCAATCTTGGCGAGACTTTCTTAGTTTTTTGTATCCATTCGATAATTCTCTTTTATCAGCCGTTGAAAGTTTTTCTAGCAATTATGAGATTTTCTTTTCACTCTCGAACACTAGCATTATAAAAAAATGGAATAAAGATAAATAACATTTCAACATATAAATTAGTCTATCAATAAATCCATAGAGTAAATAAAATATAAAAAAAAGATGGTTTAGTAAACTGCATATTTCCATAGGGAGGATAACGTACAGCAATGATAATAATAAAGTGTAAAAATGACATTTCATAGATATATAAGAATGCTGAAGTATGAGAATACTATGAGTATTATTGAAACTCAGCCTGCTCTCAATCATTGTATATATTTGATATAATTTTTTATGTAATTATTTATTAACGTCTCCTAATCTCCTTTCATTATCATTTATTAGAACCTACCATACTATTATCAAATTTAATATAAAATTAAAGAATATCTAATTATAATAATTAATACAAATAAGCTATTCAAAAATAAGCATCTCATGACACATACATTATAATCATTTAAATGAAGAATAATCAATAGATTTTCAAGATGAAATATTAAGTCAATATAATAAAACAACAATAAATAAATAAAATAATAAAAAGTACCAGTAAGAGGAACTCCAAAAAGAATTGACAGAGCTTCTGCAGCTTCTACTAGTGCCCAAGATTTTGCAAATTGTCGTAATCTGAATCTCTCAAGAGCCAACATCTTAAACGAATATAGCGTAGCACCAAGCGAAGCCCCATATAATCCGGATGCAATCACAAATCCGTAATAGCTTTGAACGGAGCTAAGCACTATTTGAGCTATTGCTATATATGCAAAATTGAGAAACAAATAGTAATCATTTCATTAAATTTATTCTTAGACTTAAATTTGTTTATTGAGTTTTCACAAGCATTATGTTCATGATAAATTAAAAGATGTTTTTTAAAATAAAATTTTTAATTTCTTAAAAATATAAGTAATTATAATCAATATCATTCAATAATTTTTATTTTTATATCTTTAAAATATAAAAGATTAACTAATAAGTTTTTCTATTACTTAAATTAAATTACTTAAATACTTAATCTTATAATAATTAATAAAATATTAATTAGCACCATCAAAATATTAAAAAAAATTAACATATACTTAAATTTTCTCTAAATATAAGAGTGCATTAAAAGAAATTACTTCACATAAACAAGAAATTATTATAAAATTAAAATATTTAATTATTGAAATTGTGTATCATCTATAATAATTTAACATATTTTAGCTAACATAAATTTTTTTATTTATTGCGTTATTATAGCGGCAACAAAACTATTACTTAATATTGAGAAAGATATAACGAGCAATTCAGATTAAATACGAGATATCTACCTTAATAAAACACTTCATTCATTCAAAATATTTAAGTAGATTAATATATTTATTAAGGAATGAAATTAAAATATAATATATGATATAAATTAATATACAGTAGATAAATTATCATATAATTAGAACATAATAAAAGATATAGAAAGAGAATAATTAATGTAAACGAGACATGAAAAGACAGAGAAGAGTCTGGAAATCGTAATAACCGAGAGCAAATTTATTTGATCTATATATTTATATTTTTTTTATTAAAATTAAAAATGACAAAAAATATTGTAAATACAACTATTGCATCTTATTTGCAAAAAAAGTATTCAAGCGAAATACTATACAGTACAAGTATTTATTTTGATACGGTATATTTTACAACCATATTTTCAGTATTTGCGTACGTTATTCTACATGTACTAACCAACTCCGATGAGAGCCCCTTGGCAAAGATATTGCCTGGATATAAAGCAGTAAGTGGATGGCCTAATAGTAATAATTCCCCAGGTAGCGCACCCCAAAGCCGTTGATAAACCAAAACAGATTTGCAATAATATTGATGAACTGTAGTCTACTTGATAATCCTGCAGTGCCTGTGAAAAAAACGGTCAAGCAAAAATAAAAATAACTAATTATATTGACAACTAAGTTAAAATGATTTTAATATAATTTTATATTTTAATTTTTCTCTCCCATTTTATTTTACGAGTTCATCGAAATTCTTAGTTACATATTGGGGAATATTAATGTACAAATGAATGAAGCTATGCGTAATTGACGTCAAACAAAATAGCGGCACAGTAACATCCACCGATGCGCTATCGGCGCATCGATTTTGTCCGAGAATATTTAAGGAGCTGCACGCGCCGCGATCCAGCCTTCTAGTTCAAGCACCCAGCACGACAGGATTGCCACTCTGCTAGCACATCACACAGTTCCCGACTACATGCAAGTAACGCCGGCTCACGTTCTTGCATATTACCTCACCACGCGATCGCCACTCTGCTAGCACATAAAACATTCTAGCCACCACGTGCAAGTAACGCCGACTCACGTTCTTGCATATTACCTCACCACGCGATCGCCACTCTGCTAGCACATAAAACATTCTAGCCACCACGTGCAAGTAACGCCGACTCACGTTCTTGCATATTACCTCACCAAGCGGTTACTGCTACCACTTCACGCAGTTCCCGCCACCACGTCCAAGCAACGCCGACGTTCGTTCTTGCATAGTACCTTACACGGC